GTAAGTTTCAGCAGTCTGCATCTCGGTTAAGCACAGACTTTTGTCAGACGATTTTACACACGTCCGGGAAGAAATGAACTTCAATAATATTGCGATGATATTGATCAGTAAGAATATCTTATGTCCCTCTCAGAGTCCTGAAGAGAAAAATTAATTATGAACAAAACGTCAGTTTTAATCTACCGAGATTCTTCTTGAAATTATTAATAAATTGTACATCCACAGAAATTTTAAATTTCTTTTATGAATTTCGCGCGTATATTTTCAATTCTTTTCATTGCATATCTCTGTATTATATTTTGTTAAGCCGTTTTAAATGATATCATAAATCAAACACGTTTATCCAAATTCTGCTTGTCTTGTTATATTTGCCGAACAACAAAACGAATTTGTATTCGGGTTTTACAGAGATTTTCCAGTAATAAAATAATATTCGGCATGTTGGTTTATTCGTGTAGATATAAACAACAAACAACGGTCGCAAGTGTAAAGTAAATCATGCTGAATAAAGTACCATTAGCATTTATCAAAGGTTAATATTTATTGAAAGATCACTCTCGCGTTGCTATTGTAGCCAACATAAAATCAAACGTGTTAACGAAACATGTCATACGATTCACTAATAAACTATATAATATATATATATGTACATATATAAAAATTACATATATGTATATAACATTAATTACAGTATATATACAATACACACTCATATACATATTAAACATAAGCATGTATGAGTACAATTGGGATTTTTCGCTCTTTAAACGCAAGTGTTTTAATATTTATTCCAAGACAAGTCTTTCACAAAAATTATTTCCATCGCTATTAATTAAAAGGAAAAACGTTACACTTTATATTAACTTACATAATATTCTAATAAAATAAATATAATTAAATAATTAAATTATAAATATAAATATAAATTATATAATTTTGCGAAGGTGCGCACTCCTCTCTGATGAAGTGAACGGCAAGGTTCACGACGATAACTCGTAAATCTTTTGATATTTTTGAAGAAAATACCCTCTTCAAAAGCGTTAAAAATGAATATACTTTATTAAAAATTAATAAAGATCTAAAACTAAATTTAATATTGTATTGACTCTGAAAGAGAATTGTTAAATAATTTTATTATAAAGAAAACTGAATTAAGAATTCAATCCTTATTATTTCAGCATTTTATTATACAATCAAAAATTTCTGTTAAATTATTATATAAAAATATTTTACAGACACGCAATTTATCATATTTACTATCAAAAATAAAAAAAATTGAATTAATTGGTAATATCAACCATCGCGATACTTATTAGAAAACATACTTCGTCCTTATATCTGCTTTTAGTTCATCAGTTTCGCATAAAACTATCTTAAATTCCAGAGCAAACTTTATAAGTGACTTATGCATGCTGTGTAGATATCTGAAACTTCGTGTTACCAGACGGTTATCCGTGAATATAACGTAGGCAGGAGTTTACTAAACCAAATCTGTTGTGTTAAGCACAACGAAGGCCAAACTGGGCATAGTGATGCGAATCGCATCGACGCGCGATCCTGCCAGTTTCTCAGAATGCACACTGGGCGCATAGACTATCAACTGCTCTGGAATATTCATCCAGATCCTAGTGTCTACGGTGACTGGCGTGTCGACAAAGTTGACTATAAACGCTACGACAGATGCATCGTGTCGCCACACTACCCCTAAAACATTCTCAGTAATAGAACAATTGAAACAGTACAACGCAGCCTCCAGAGAGCTCCATTTGACGAGCTTCGTTTCCAAACGCGACAAAGATTTGAATACACTATAATAAGACCGCAAGTTTTTGTGCCGCTGAATTCAGAATCCTGTAATTGCTGTTCATCACGTCTCATTGCTGATAGATAAGCCCGTACTGCGTCATCCCATTAAAAAGATGTTAGTGCCGAATCCCTCGATTTTAAATAATATCTGCAAGGGAAAATCGAAATTCATTTAATAATATAACACTTACTAGCGCTAATACAACACGTTTACCGTACAGAACATTCTAATGTTCGTCATCGCTGATGCCTGCGTATCAGCTTTTTCTTCCTTTTTATAACACAAAGAAAAAGGAGTCTCTTTTGATTGTGAAGATCAATAATGGTCATTATATTTAAAAATAAATAATTATGCGTTATATGCAAAATTCTGGAAGTAGAATTTAATAAAAATATAACAGAAATTTGAATTGTGAATAATATTTTTTAATTTTAAATTAACAACTTTAATAATGAGTACGTTGAATATATTCTATTAATTAAATAGCACTTTTTATTTATTGATATTATGATATTAAAAATATCTGATATATTTGGAAATAAAATAGTACATTTATATAGATATCGAATCTGTTTAGACGCACGACTTTGTCCGGGTTTATCTTCACTCGTGATACCCCTGTCAGATCCAACGATACATCCGATAGGGTCCTTGGTTTCAGCATACGTAAAATTCCTATCGACTATGCCAATCTCGTCGCCGTTGTAAATCACGCTGGGTAAAACCATCGCCAACGCGGAAAGCTGATCGTTCCGTTTCTCGCCCAATCTGGAGGCCGTTCGATGATTGTCATGATTGTCCATCATCCACGTAACGTACGGTGAATCATTAGGTATATTGTTCATCCATCGATTAATGATACATTTGAAATCAGCTGCTCTAGACTCATCGTTCAAATAAAAAATGAACATAAAATTAAACGACACGTTCGGGCTTGATTTGTATGCAACGCATAGTTCTATGTCGGCCTCGATCGAAATCATTTTTGCATTAACCGCCGAGTGATTATCCAATAACTCTCTTCAGGACTTCGTAAATCTCGGGAAGAGATTTCCCGTGTAAATATGACCCAGCTTTGTAATCATCCTCCAGTATTTCCGGTATGTTTTTTCGAGGTTGGTCTAGATAACATGTATTCTCAAACAAGTGGCTGATAGCATCAGTGCGAAAACCATCCACACTCCAATCCAGTCAGAAACTCAGTTTTTTTTTTTATTTCACGTTGCAATACAACGCTGCGGTAGTTGAGATCCGCCTGAGCAACGTTGAACTGATGGAGATAGTATTGTTACTGTACCGAATTCCATTCCCAGGCGAAGCATCGGACGACACTCGACCAGTTGTTCGGTGGTTTCCTAGTGTCGTTCACTATACGCGCGACACGCCAGACTCGTTGTAGGACTTGATCCGTTGAACGCTTTTTCTTAACTACCCGTGCTCGTGAGAGCTGTAGTTTGGCACGAAATCGAGAATTACTTTCAGCCCGAGGGACTTTGCCTTCTCCATGAGTTTGTCAAAGTCAGCTAAAGTACCATAATCCTTGTCGACGTCGGTATAATTAGCAACGTCGTCGTATCTAAAGTCAAACTGCAGGCTGATCGGTGACAGCCATAGCGCATCAGCAATGTCCGCAATATACTCCAATCTATTCGTGATATCATTCAAATCTTCTACACTGTCTCCATCACCCCTGAAACTTCTCGAATAGACTTGATGTACCAAACTGTTCTTGCACCAATTCTTGTCCGCTCTTTCGATTGACACGAAAGTTATTAGAACAATCAACGTTGAAATAAAAATATATAGACGGATTATAATAAATAACTAATTCGATTGTTGATTCTAATATAATTTTATACCTATGCGCGAAAACATTTTTTTTAAAGTCATATCAATAAATACATTGTTGGAATTATTATTTTTATTTGCTAAGCTTGTAACTGCATGTAAATAATTACATCAAATTATTGATAATGGTACTTACATTTTTTACAATAATATCTGATATTAAATAGCTTCTCTCTTATATCATAATTTTTGTCAAGAGGAACATCATAGTTACAATATATTAAAGATATTTATTGCGCCTAATAAAAATGTATAATTTATAATATTATATAATTATATTATTGAAACTTGTGATATAAATATAAAAAATAAGAATATACATTCCAAAATTATGAATTATGTTTCAGATTTATTCCGCAAAAATACAATTTAGCAAAACTAAAATATTTCAAAACCAAATATCGATAAGAACATGCTGTAACACTCAAGTTGGATTTTGGATACTTCTAATATATAATTTCGTGTGAATTTATTTATATACTATATGTAGACTCTTAAATGTGCGTCTAAAATTTTTTTCAGACTTACAACGCAAACTCTATAAACTACCGCAGTATACTATTACGAATTAAATTGACTAACAATCTAAGCATTTTGATGCGCATAGCATCTTGTATCTTAACGATGTTGAATGACATATTAAAATCTACGAATGACATATTAAAAGAAACTGTATATAATTAATTTCTATTCCGAAAAATATTACCTCGGCCGGAAGTCGAACCCGAATCTCTAGCATTTCGTGCGAACGTTCTAAGCCTTTAGACTATCGAGGCAATATTTCACATTTTATATGAACAATTAATTTGTACAAATATTTAATATAAACAAGTTATATGTTTTACTATTGCAAAACAAAAAGAATAATGTGCTTCAATACTACGTTAGAAAAAATATTTTAAACATTTTGCGCTTTTGACACGCTGTAGGTTGATAATTATTTTTATTTAAGTCCATCATAGTAATTAATTTAAAAAATATGCTTTATTAAAAAAAATTGGAAGAGAGAAAATAAAGTTAAAAATTGAAGTAGCGACAAAGAAAAATTAATTAATAAAACAAGAGGCAATTGAGTTAAAAAGCCAATATAAATAATGTTTTAGCATTGATTTATATTTTATGCTATCTTATATACTGAAGGATAATTAAAAAAATACTCTTATTTTGATAAAAATAAAATGTATTTGATTAAACAAAAATGTGCATTTTGTAGATACATGAAACACTAATTACTAACTGATTTCAACTGTTGTTCCAATGATTTTTTTGCAATTAATAATTCCAAGATATCTAATGGCAACAAGTTTATTTTTAATTATTATTATCACAAGATATACATTTCCTTTAAAAGATCTTTCTCAGATTTATACAAGACACAATCTGCTTGCAAAAAATATCTATGCTTAATACATCCAAAAATTTGATTTACTTAAAAGTTATATTTGTTAACACGACATAAGTAAAAATTTAGTCCAAGAAATTTTCAGTGGTGAGTACAACAGAGGCCGAAGCAGACAGCCTGAAAGAACGCATCTCAACGGCCGATCCTCGAAGTACGTTACCACCTACGCTGATTGTGTACACTTTTAACTGCTCCGAAATATTTAACCACATTTCAATATCAATAACGACCATCTCCGTGTCGCTGAAATTCACTATTAGGACCACAATGTCTGATTCGTATCGTCGTACCACCCCTAGAACATTTTCGGCGACAGAACACTTGGAACAGTACAACGCAGTCTCCAGCTTGCCCTTCTCGATAACAGACTTCTTTTTCAGAGCTGTTAAGCGCTTAAATACGTCATAATGAGAGTAGGCTTTATATTTTTGTGCCTCTACATTCAAATGGATATAATTCTCGTTCACTGGAAGCCATGTTGAACTGCTGGTAGAGAAACCGGCGTTGGGGCTATCATTCCACTGAAAAGGTGTTCTTTCTGGATCTCGCGATTTTAGCCAATATCTGAAAACGTCACAATATGTATCATTAAATAATAAAAAGACGTATCTTGAATATAATTATAGAAGTTTATGTATTAAGTTATACCTAAACTTCTTTTGAAATGTACAAGTTTAGGTAATTATTGCGAAAAGGTTAAACCTCACCGACGACCTCGACTTTGACATGTTGTCAAGATGACTCTGAGCAACCTCCAACAGGTTTTAGTTGGCAGTCATTATTACTTGTTAAACAGTTGTAAGTAAAAAATTTAAGAAATAATGTTTACTCCCTGTTGAGATTCACCCCATTCCTTCCATTCTAATTGTAAGTGACGTACGACTTTCACACGAAGCAACTCTCATCGCAATGAGGGGAGGGGGATGAAAATCGCTTCGTGTGGAAGTTGTGCGTCCGTAAACCAAAATGTGATATTATATCTTAAACTTTTCGTTAATAACTTTTTAATGGACAGTTACTGCCAACTAAAATCTGTTAGAGGTCATGCTCTTGACAATATATAATATGTTAAAGTTAAGGTCATCAGCGAGGATTAATCTTTTCGCAATAATTACCCATATTTATTATAACTTGTTAACAAAATCGAAAAGACAGCATAATTATACGTATATAATTGTATATAATAACTTTATACAATTTTTTTTGTCAAAATGAATAATCAATTCATAATATATATACTTATTATAACTAAACGTCACATTGAGATAGATGATTTGCATTATATATGTATATTAATTATTAGCGAATAAAATCATATGAATCCTGGTAATAATAATAATTTAAATGTATCTGTATGTCAAAAATATGATTTACGAGTATGTATAAATTTTGCGATAGAAATATTGTTTACATAATTTTATTAATCAATATTTCTCTATATATACATATATTCTCCAAATAATATAAAATATAAAACAATCTATCAATATATATATACATATATATATAAAGTAATATTTATATAATATTATATAAAATACTATACTTATTAAGTGAATAATTATATTTATAAATTTTATTTGAATCTATTATATGTGTAACGAGAGAGAGAGAGAGAGAGAGAGAGAGAGAGAGAGAGAGAGAGAGAGA